TAGAAATATTACCCGTGTGCACGGCAGAGAATACTCAAATAGCCATTTGGAGGGAAGGCTTGGGATTCCTTAGCCCCTAACACTTTGTCTTGCTTTCCCTGCCCACAACATCAGCAAATTGCATTATTCTTTTCCATGGGAAACAGACCTGATCCATGCAGCAGAGAGGAAGGGAAGCTTCCTCAGCTGCCACCTCCCTCTCACTAGGTGTCAGCACTGCTGCTCCTCACACAGCTCAGCAGTGCCGACGCTTCCAGCAATTTTTAATCTTTAAAACCACTTACTGCACCGTCATCTAAGACAAAGGTGTTTGAGAAGGAAAACGAATGACACTGCTGCTCTGCAAAGCCTTCACAGTGCAGTCCAATGTGCCACCACAAGCTGAACCCGAATCCAACTCAGAACCTCTGTGTTAAATGAGGAGTGCTGACCTAGCTGATGGAACACACATCCTAAACCCACAGCATGTGCAGCTGCAACATCATCAGGTAACTGTCTGCAGCGTTACAGGGAACATCCACGGGGATTTCGGATACTTGCCTCCGTTAACTACTCTCTGATCTGCTCCAGAGTTAGGGCTGAACTCCGAAGTGTGGGATCCAGACCTTGATATTGGTGGGCCTGATCCAGACTGGCCCATCCTCGGTGAGTTTTGTCTTCCACTTCCCCAGGACAGGACATCTCTGTTCCTCTGCCCAGGCGGAATGTATTTATTTTCTCTGAAACACAGCAAATTTCTGTCAGTGGGAACACAGAACAGAAAGGCAACGAAAACCACCCGATCTGATATTTTTCCCTCTTTCTCAAATCAAGCTAAAGGAAAAGTCTAAACACTACCAGATGCTGACCTAACAGTCACCTCATGAATTGGCTTTTGATACTGACCACACAGTCCACTTTATGAGCCCAGAGACACCCAAGGATTTAGCCCTGATGCCTGAAATTCCCCGGGACACACTGAAACCACTGCCCTTTCCTGTCACCTGGCACGAATTCGCCGCGGTGACAGCTCAGACCGGGGAAGTCTGTTCCACCACACAGATAATACAGGGCCAGGCAGAGGTGTACAAGTCACCCTGAGTGCCAAAACCAGCACATGATTGTTTACGCAAGGCTCCAAACCTAATCAGCCCTGCTGGAAAAGCACAGTCTGAAGGAGTAAATTGCCACAGTACCAAAATAAGTACATGATTTAAATAAAAATACCATTCAGAGTGCACTCAAGTACCTAGTGTTCACACCGTGTCCTTCTCTTTCATTAGCATTTCTCTGAACAGCAGTATATTTTTCTTCTTCTGTCCTTTCATCATTTTCCAAGGCAACTCGAGCTTTGTATTGGGCACTTGATTCAATTTCCTCTGCTAATTGAGTTGCTCTGGCTTCCCGCTTTAAAAACTCTTCTGAATTATCTCTTTCTAATGGCACCCTAAAAGACAATGGAAAGGAAAAGAATCTCTGAAACGCAGTCAAAAGCACAAAGGAGCCACAAAAATTACACACTGTTAGTTCTAACCAAGTCAGAAGGAAAAAAACAACTTGCTGTGGGTTTCAGTACAAGCATTTTCCTGGTTTGGTATTATGTGCAAATTCAGTGCCAGTTACCTGTCCAGAGAGCTGAGGTCTGAGGGTGCAGAGCTTGTCCATATGACTTGCAAAATTCCCAATCCCTAAAGCTATGCAAAGGCTCCAACATTTGAGAACATCAGCAATAAAAATGCTCAGTGTTATTTAGACAGGAACTACCTTAAGGGCCCAAATTTGAATTTTTTTTTAGCTATTTAGAATCACAGAACCATCAGGGTTAGAGGAGAACTCTAAGATTGAGTCCAACCATGAACCTGTCACTGCTGGAACCCCCAAACCAGATCCTCCAGTGCCAGATCCAGACACCTCTTACACACCTCCAGGGATGGTGACTCCACCACCTCCCTGGGCAATTCCAGGGCCTGAAGACCCTAACAGGAAAAACACTTCTCCTAACCTCTAACCTGACTCTGCCCTGGTTCAGCTTACTTTTATACACTCCCAGAAGACACAATCCTACTAAAACCAGGGAGTTACATCCCTAACCCTTGGATAATTCCAGCCACAGAATTTCAGCTCTTCCTCTTAGGAATAACTGCAGGAAAGATGAATGCAGCACTTCAGAGCACGGGACCAGAAATCCACAACTCATCTGCCATGTCCCAGGGCCTCAGAGCCATTCATTCCATGTAGCTCTCATGGAATATTGCAAAAACATCCCTTAGGAAAGCCACCAAGTCCAAACTCACTCCACGAGCACTGAAACACTGAGAGAGATGGCATCATACCTGGCACCTCCTTCTCTCACCCATTTTTGGTTTCTACCTGTCTTATTTTGCATCAGGTTTATGAAACAAGTTTTTCCCCTGATTTTGAGCTGTGAAGTTGTTCCACTCCATGTTACTTCAGAGCTACACAGAGACCACAGCTCAGGCCTGGCCCAAGCTCTGCTAGGCATTAGATAACAACTGCTGCACATACTTTGAATGATATAAAGGAGAAAACAAAGAAAGTAGGTGGAGGTACAAGCTGAGTATGAAATAATGTATGCAAAATTACTCAAGTGTTGGTGGCAGAACTAGGAAAACAAGTGGCTTTGCCAAATTCCAAGCCAGCACTCCACTACTGCATCACAAGTTTTTCCACACACACACGTTGTGGCCAGTCAAAACATCTCACAGGCCTTATCAGTGGTCACTGCAGGAATATTCCACCAAAACCTTACCCTTCAGCACAAAGCTTTGGCTCAAACAAGAGCTGCATGAACACAGTGCACACAAACCTGGGCACAGGCCTTGCTGACCCCATGTTAACACAAAGGGGAACACCCAGCAACCCTTACTGACTTAGTGACTGAAAATAATGGGGGCACGTGTGCAGAGACACTGATGGCAACCCAACAGGCAAAGAATGGGTTTCTAACAGGCCAGCAAAGAGGACAGAAAGGGGATGGCCAAGATGACATCGTTCAGAGCAGCATTCACAGCAGCTCAGGAATCCACTTGCTGCAACACAAACTTGTGCCTTGATGCAGTTTGACAAACTCTACCTGCTAGTTCTTAGCTCTGGGAAGAGAAAACAATCAAACCATAAATCCTTCACAATCCTTCAGCTGCATGTTTAAGCATTTAGCTACACTGGTCCCAGAGTTGGAAAAGCAGGAAAAGAGCTTCCCAGTTTAGCAGACTCATATGCAAAGCAAGTTGCCTGACTAGGGGGAAAAAAAAAACCTGGCATTAATTTAAAGCCACCTTCATGTTTTTAATCTGTTTCCATTAATATCCATAAAGCAGAAAGATGGCAGACTAAAGTTCAAAAGTCCAAAAAGTACTTAGAGCAGTGAAGGAGAGGAAAGAACAGCTTCCCCAGGATTCAAACCTAAGCCGATTAGGACACTTTGATTATCACCGTGTTACAGGTCTGTGTGAACAAAACACAGAAATAAAGACTGCTGAGCCAGAGAGCTGCACCCAAAAACCAGAACAGTGGCTGCAATTCCTTGGTATTCAGCAGTGAGTCGATGCTTTGGGGGTTAAAAGAGTGGGGGAACACTGAAGGCATTTCACAATGGCTGCTGAACATCTGCAGTCCATTTGTGCTGCAGTTGCAGTGAACACTATAGCTGCAGACATTTGGGGATAGGCCCACACTGCCAGAGTGGCCAGAGGAGGCTTGGAACTGCTTCTATATTCCAGTTGTTACTGTAGTGTAACTAAGACTTTAGGGCTGGACAAGTCTGCTGAACAAGTCACCCTCCTTGGTTATCAGCAATTTTTCCACATTCCACAATCTTCCACATCAACTGTCCCAATAAAATTAGCATTCAGGCAAACTCTTCTGCTAGGTTAAACCAAAGCTACAGGTACAGCAGCTACATAAAGATAATTTCACAGTTCTCTGCCCCATCCACGAGAGGGTCTGCAAGAAGTGAGGGTTGCTGCATGCCTGAATCCAGCAAACGCTGCAGTGGGAATGAGCTGTGCCCATTTAAGGGAATACATACAGATTTCCCCATCTAACTATTCACAGAACTCTGGCAAGCTCTCTTAGGCACTATTCATTCATTGCTTTTCGCAGTGATTTGACTCCACAACTTCAGAAACGATGCAAAATGAGCTGCAGAACATAAAGTTTGTCAAACCAGGGAGAACAGTAAATACAAATCCAAGGAACAAAATGGTTTGGAACTTACGTATAAGAAGACAAACTGCTGTCATAAGTTGATACTACACCATAATTTTCTTCATTGTAACGAAACATGTCATTGGGATCCCATCCATTAGACTAGAAGAAAATGATGCTTGTTTTTCAAAATGACACTGGCAACACATTCCCTGAACATTAAGGGCTGATGGCAGAAGTTAAACCTTCTGCCCTTTTTCCTGGGCTTAGGAATTTACTGTCTAGATATCAAAGTTACTAAAGCCACAATTTATCCAGGGAGCTTTGCTCATCAGATGTACAGATTTACCTTCAAAAGCCTTTTTTTAATGGTTTGTTGTGAGTCTTTGGGTTGTTTCTGTCAGGGCTTTTAAAGCACAATGCCCACTCTGTACTAGGAGATTGCTGGCTAGCAAGAAATACATATATTCATGCCTTTTTGCCTTTCCAGAAGGTGCAAATTGACACTTCTCACCATTAAAATTGTCCCTTGTTGTGGCAAGTGCTGCAACTTTGCAGCTGCACTAATGCAATTACCTGAGCCACAGAGCACGGGCAGGAGGCTCCTGTTGATCTGCACAACTTCCCCACTCGAGTGAAATTGCTATTACAGCACTCAGGCACAACGAGAAAGGTTTTGAATATTTTATAAAGGCACTAACAGTATTGAGTATTCTCATAAATCTCAGCTCTACAACATGCACACAAGAATTGACAGGAGAACTGTTCCAGCCAAAGTTAATATGCTCCACAGTAACATGACCAGACTCTGCTCTAATCAGGAGCATTATCTTTAACATATCACAGGCTGAATACCTCACTGAGAAAAACTCGTGCTTGAGGAAAAGCTGACTGCTGTGATGTATAAAGAGATGTCATTTGAGACCACACTCTTCATCTAAGGATTCCTCAGCTGCTGAGATTGTGTCTGTGCTTGGGTCAGACACACATCCATTCCCTTCAGCTGCAGCCCAGGGACACTGAGCTGAGCACAGTCTTGCCATAATTTCCAAGTGCAGTGATGGTCAGATAGGAATTCTCTGATTGAGCATTAATCACTTCAGTGCATTGCTGAATTTGGAGCCCTGGACAGAAGCTGCTCTTTGAGCCAGTCCCTGAGCCCAACACATCTCTCCCTGCTGCAGCTGCCACTGGCCAGAATTTGCCAGGAGTGGCATTTGAGATCCACTCATTCAAGGGGTTAACAAGTACTGTGGAGCTGCTAGCAAAGGCTGAACATAACCACTACAATGCAGGACAGCACTTTCAGCCCAAAATTCATTACTGGATTAAAATTAAGGAAGTGTTAAATTAAGAAACAGCTTATTCTGCACAGCTGATAAAAAAGCATTACTTACAACGTCTGTCTCTAAAGCCTCAAGCTCCTCAGAAGCAGTAGTCTCTCCTCCATCCCATGGTTCCAGATCCTTTTCCTTGTGTTCTCCATTGACTTTAGCACTGATGGCTGAATCAGTAAAAGCATCTACAATGGAGTGGGGAGGGATGGGGGTGAAATCAATTGGGTTAAGCACAGGAAGATGTACACACAAGTTTTTTAGCTGAGGAACAACCCAATGCAGCTGAATCCCAGGCACATTAACCATCATTCACCTTCTCCTGCAGCTGCTGTGGCCAACAGGACATCAGGAAGGTGCTTACTTCAGGCTTAGAATGACTATGAAACTACAGAGTAACTTCTAGAAATATTTTCAGTTATTTCAAACTATTTTATATAAAGTGCATGAACATTTGGGGGGAAAACCACTACCTGAGGATAGATTGTTCTCTAGAAAACCCAGGAATTGTGTGATATCCTTTTCCAAACAGCCCACACAATGGCACACTAAAGTGCAGTGCAAATACCAAAAAGCATGAATAGAACCCTATCCCAGTCCCTAAATGGGCAAAATACAAGTTTCCCTTCAGACATCTGAGCCCCTTCTATTCCCACAGCTCCTCAGCACCCCAAACATGCACACACACACTCGTTCTCCCTCTGCAGGGTGGCTGTCCTTCAGCTTGGTGCACCCATGCCCTGGGACAGGAGCAGAGGTGTTTTCTCTCCTGCCACAGCTTTTCCAAGCAGCAACTCACCCAAACCACAAATAACCAGCAAGGCTCTGCTGCTGTTTACAACAATTATAAAACCATCCATAACACACAGCTCACAAGTTTTTCTTTTCACGTGTTTCATTCAAGCCAGACTTCAGGAGGACTAGCAGAGTATTAGAAGTGCTGTGACCAAAATGTCCAAAGCCATTCACCAGGGAAGCCAAGCTCTCACATTTGTAAGCAACTAGATCTCAGAGCTGCCAGACTTAAACACAGACTGAAAAAAATTGAGTAAGCCTGTTGTAAGCTTATCAATAAATGAATCAGCCTAACAGAAATCAGCCTTCAATCTAGAATTTCCCATTATCATTCTGCTGATAAAGGAAGGAGCAAACATTTCAGCCCTTAAGAAGAGATGAAATCAAACCACCACCAGGCAGTGCCAGATATGGAAAAACGTGGCCTAAATTAATTTTTGGCAAGATGTAAAAATCTTCCTAAGAAAAATGAACTTTAAAGCTATTATGAAAGGAATGCACAACATATGAAGTTGGCCACAGCTTTTCCACAATCACTGAGGATGGTTTAAGAGAGACTGCTGACACTGCTCATTATTCCTGTTGTTCCCAACTCCACAGTGAAGTTCTGTACATGAACTGGTACAAACATGAGCTGTGCTGGGTCTGTCTGACACCACCCAGCACCATCCCAGGGAATGCTCACCCAACTCAGACACAAAGTCCAAACAGTTAAGCAATTAAGCATTGTTAATAAGCTTATATGAAACAAACTGTTATCAAAGGTGAATGAAAAAGAAGTTGATTAGCTAAACATTCACTTCAAATAACAAAAGGATCGGAAAGGTAAGAAAAAAAGCCAAATGAAGGGAAGGCACCTAAGAATCGGAAAGGTAAGAAAGCCAAATGAAGGGAAGGCACCTAAGGAGGCACAGAACTGTTAGGGCAACTGGGAAACTGCAAACACCTGCACCAATCACCTTGGGAGATGACAGAAACCTAGGATGGAATATCCTGAGTTGGAAGGGATCACAGGGATCATCAGAGTTCAACTCCTGCCCTGCACACAACAGCACAGAGATCCCACCCTGTGCCTCAGAGTGCTGTCCTAGTGCTCCTCGAGCTCTGCCAGGCCTGGGGCTGTGAGCACTGCCCTGGGGAGCTGTTCCAGTGCCTCTGGGAGATGTCACAAGCTGCCAACCAAAAGCTGGAGCTGGAGATTAACACCTTCAAGTGAGATGGTATTTTAGCCCATGGCTAAACCTTTGGCAGGAACGTTGTGTGATTCCACAGCCATGGCAGCCCTGTACCACCTATTCTGACCCCAAATTTCAGCCACTTCATCCCCAGCAATCCAGCAAACAGCTACAAATGAAGGCTGACACAGAAGGCACCCAGTGAGCCCCCACAGGGTTCTGCCAAGTCACACATGCAGGTCTCACCACGCCGCAGTGCGAACTGAGGGTCTGTTATAAATTAGGGTAACAAAAGCATTATGAAAGGCAAGATGCAGAGCCAGAGCGACTGCCAAAAAACGTTACCTGTTTCTGAAGGAACTACAACAGATATGGAGAGAAAAAAAAATGGGAAGACATCAGATACAAACACAGGTGGAGTTTTACACAATATATGGCTGAATTCAGGTGCAGCTAAACTCTCAGTCCCTCTCACAGACACCTCCCACCTCAGCCATGTTCCCACTGATTAGCATCCCCTTATACCCCCCCATTTTGCTTCACAAAAAAAACCCCAAACCCTCCAAATAACCTACATTATTCCAGCTTGAAAGAAAACATCTCTCAGTTTCCCTTCACACAAACAACTGTTACCATAATACTGTATTAGTGTGTGTCAATATATATATATGTTTGAATGTCATCTGAAACTACATAGCAACACAGTGATACCAGATCCAGCTAAACAGTAGCTAAAGAGTATATTTTAAGGCACTTTTACTTGGAAACTGCATTTCCCTCATCAATACCATGCAGCTAACCCAGCCCAGTGCTGCTCCCATCCCAAATACTATTGAGCCAATGTTTCACATCTGATCAGCTCGGATGGAACGTGTGACACCAAACACAAGTTGGAGGCTGCTCGTGCCACTGGGGAAGCTGTGAAATCTGTGCCCACACCCCTGGGAGCAGAGGGGTGAGATGAGAGGACAAACAGGCGTTAGGAGGCCGATGGCAGCACCTGAGGGAGGCAATCTGTGTTTCATAGGGTGTTTCCTTCACTTCCATTAGATCACTGCAGGCAAACTCCACACAACTGTGCCGTTTTGGCTACTGTGAATCAAAAAGCAGCTTAACAAGGCTCATCTCCTCAACCCACTCATTTTCCTATTTAAACAGCCACATAAACATTCAGCAAAGTGCTGTTCCTGTAATGACACAGATGAACTGAGGGGAAAAAAAACAAGTCAAAGCAAAAACTCCACTATTTGTTGAGTCCACAAATCTAAGCAGATGTGTAGTCACTAAGTTTCCCAGCAGAATCCATGGGGCACAGGATCCACTGCTCTGCACTTCTCTCCCATTTCAGAATGACAGCCACAGCTAAGGCTGTGCCAGTTTAACCTCTACAGCTCAAAGAAAACCCAAAGTTAGGAGGAATCCAAGCCACAAAGGCAGACTGCTAGTCCTACAATGTGGTCTCCAGAGCACCCAGGCAAAGTTTAAATGCAGCAGCACAGCACCTCGAGGCTCAGATCACTGTTTTCCTGGAACAGACAGCAAGGCAGGCACACGGGAGAGCAGGATTAAGAGCACAGCAAGTCAAACAAGCCTTTACCAAAATTAATGAGCAACAAACTTGAGAACTTATGTAAAAAAACCTCTAAAAATAACAGTTTCCAAAACAGAGATACTGCTCTGCAGATTATTAGTCGAGTAGAAGCTAAAGCATGAGCTGCTGCTCCAAGTGCTGCCTGGCAGGGTAAGAGCAGACAAGACACTGGCTGCACAGGCTCAGCCTCCCCCTTATCTCCTGCCTCTTATCAGGAGCTGTTCAACAAGTAATTCACATGACACCTTGACATGGCCAAATTTTTAATCAATCCCTTTTCTACATGGCAAAACCTGAGTTACAGATCAAACGAAACCTGGAGAAATGAAGGCTGGAGCTGGAACACCCAATTAGCCCTCACTGCCTCTGTACCTGCTTAGTGGGGCAGTTTGGCATCAAGGACCTCACTTCTTGTTTTACAGCCTGACAACTGGGGGAAAAATCCCAAGAATAATTAAATATACACGTTCTGGGAAAAACTCAGCTTGGGCAACTTCTCCAAGTATGTGCTATTAAATGAGCTAAAGAAAAATTGCCAGAATAGAGCAATTAAGAGTGCTGGTTTAATTAACATCAGTGTCTAACATGCTTGTTTTCACAAACATATTTTGAGCCACTAATGGTGAAGAGCACAAATATGCAATTAAGTGCAAGTCTGCAGTTCAAATGCCATTAAACCCATCAGTGTTCCATGCCAAAGGTGTTGATGCTGCACACCGAAGCTTTGATCAAGTAAACTGAGGTTTCACTTTAAAGGTTTCAACTGTAAACTCTCATTTGTTTTGTAACTACTTACTACTGATTGGAAACATTAAAACCAGTTACCACCAGCTCTGCAGAGCCAACATTTCCTTCCTTTGTTCATAAGATGCCTACTGCTATTCCCCTTGCAACACTTTCTCTGGAAGAATTCCACTTCCAGTGCTAATTCAAGGAAAATCTCAAATAGCCAATTCTCTTCTGCCTTTTTTATCATTGGATTTGTAAGATTTTTTCCTCTCAGAGTGCAGCAACAGTGCCAAAACCCCATAAGAACATTGTAGGAGTCTTTTACTTTAACAGCACTTCTGATGTTTGAATTGTCTTGTCTTTAAAGAGAGGCCAAGAAGGCAACTCCAAAGCCCTGCTGAAATGTGAATCCTATGCACACCAGCAGTGCGGCCTGATCTGATTCCTGAGGGCTGCAGGAAACTCTGCTGGAAGCTTCTTCCGTAGAACCAGGAGAAACAGATCCTCCTGTATCTGTCACCCAGCAGCTCCACTACCTCTGCACTCGAAGGTGAAGCAGAAAGGTGTTAGGTGTTAATGTCCAGCCAAGGATTGCAACTGGCACCTGAGAGCACGTTTTCAGCAGCTGATTTTCATTGCACATGCAGGAGCCACTGTCAGTCCCTCTAAAAGCAGCCAGAGCAGCCTGGAAGGAGTGATGGGTATAACACAGTTCCACCTGAGCTTTTCAGTGCATGTTTCATTCATGAGCCTGCCTGTACTGCAGAGAGCCTCAATTCCACAGAGACAGGCCCTCAGGTGACTCCTTCCTGCACCTGCTGAAGCCTAACAAGCATCTACACAAGCATGGAGGTCTGTGCAGACTGACAGAGCTGCAAATAAGGGCCCGGGAAGCAGGGACAGATTTATTATTTAAACACAAACTCTTAGAACATCCCCATCTACACAGAATTTTCCCCTCAGCCCTTCCAGTTTCTACAATCTGGGCAGACTCCACACTTTCCCCACTGGTGTATCTAAAGGTGCAGTGTCATGCTGGGCCCGAGCAAAGCTACATGTGCTGGTCCCTAACTGGGAGGTTTCACCCACCCCAAGCCGTGCTGGTGTTCCCTCCCCTGCACTCCCACTGCTGATGCAGCTGCAGGAGTTATCAGCTCACTGCCCCAAAGCTGCACGACCACGATAGCCCTGAGCTGCCTGGAGCCTGTGCCAGGTGCCTCCTCCAACACAGCTCTGTTTGCCTCTTCTGAAAGGAGACTCCATCCCATTCCCTTTCTCCCCACCTACCGCTCTTTCCCAGTCCTCTTCCAGTCTCTCCTGCCTGACTTGTCACCCAAACCAGCCAACATCTCTGCTGCTCAAGCCTGAGGGTGGGTCAGGAGATCCTGCCCTGCAGTCAGGAGCACCATTTGCTCACACTCCCCCAGCCCAGCAAAGAAGTAAATGCCAGAATAAAAATCCACAGTATTGCAGATACTTCTACTGAATCAGGAAACCAGGATGCACTAAAACTTTCCAAACAGGATCTTTTGCAGAAATTTAGCTTAGTTCAAGGGCTCCCCAAAAGTCCAGTAGTCTCCTAAGAGGTAAGAAACTACAGACACAGACCCCAACAATCCCTACTCCAGGGGAGCCTCCCTACAACCCCTACTCCAAGTAAGCCTCCCAGTGATCCCTACTCCAGGTGAGACTTCCACAGAGCTTGTGAAGGGCCCTTTCCTTTGACTGCATTTTTAAGGTCGTAAAAACAAGTTGCCTTTCCAATCAAGTACGGCTAATTTGTCTCCTAACTTGCCTGTGAAAGGCAAAAAACATTGCGGGCTAGACAGTTCAGAAGTATTTGTTCCAGGGTAAGTGCAATCCTGCCAGACTGGGGCACCAGGCAGTGACCATTCCCAACACAAACACGACAAAGAGCAGCAACTCCTCATGCAGGACTTCAGCCCCGGTGTTCCCTGTGGATCACACAGGCTCCTCTGGCCCAGCACCAGGCAGACCTGGGTTTATTCACAGGACCAGGAGGGCAGAGCTCCTCCGTGCATGCTCACACACCTCCATTCTTCTGAGCCCTTATTCCATTCCCCAGGAAGCAGCAAGCCCCTCACTGCTCTAATTTGCAGGTGTGATCAGAGCCCGAGTTACACTTTCAAGTGCCATTTGAAGATAATACATTTTTGAGACAAAATGGAAAGTAGATTAATTTACCCACTCTGAGTTATCAAATTTTGCAGCCCTCCAGTCTATCTTGCTCCAAGTCTCTACAGCTTTATTCCAGCTCTCCTCTCCAGCACTTAAGAGATTTAGACTCAAAGATATTCCACCCAATAAAGTGAACTGAGGGACTGTTCAACCTGAAGTCATTTTCTCACGGAAAATGTCCATTGAGTAATTACTCCTAGAAGCAGTAGTGGAGCCATTCCTCTGCTCAGAAGGTACAGGCTGAGTAAGGGAGAGCCCAGTTTGCTCTGACACTGAAGTGATGCTCACAGCAGACCCACTATAAAACATCTCCTGTGTCATTTACATTCCAAGTCCCATCCAGAACCTGGAACTTATCTGCATTTCAATGCCACATTTGCTCTGACATTATGCACCAGATCTTCTGGGAAAAGCAAAATTCCTTGAAACAACAAACCTCTCATTCTTCAGCTTTACATCAGGCAAGAACATACACACACACAAACACAAGGTGAGGAGAGAAAAATCTCATTCAATGCCCTCTGGGCCCTGCTCAGCCTTGAGTGCTGCTAATGGGAATAAAACTGTTCCAACCACCACTGAGCTGCCAGTGACAGCTGATCAACCTGAAAACATGCACAGTTTCACCCCACAGCACACAAAGCTGTTTGCTTTTACTCCTTATCCCAGCAAATCAGAAACAGAAGCATAAAACCCTTGAGAATTGCTGCCCAAAAAGATGAAACCTGCCGAGGAGCTGAGCTGCCTCGTGAGCCTCTCAGGTTCCCAAGGAGTAACTAGGGGCTGGGAGGTCAGAGCATGGGAAGAGCCTGGCTGCCTGCAAAGTCACTTCATTTGGATAGCTTCAAGACATGTCTTTAGGATTTTAAGACCACTTGCCTGCCTCACTAGGTTCTTCTGTGTTTTGGAGATCTACAAGTAGCAAAGCAAAAATTAAAAACACAAATAGAGGATTTGGAAAAGAACTTTTAGCTCTTTGCAGTAACATTTTAGATGGTTTCGAAGGTTAACTCAATGTAGACTATATATACATCAACTCTGAATAACAATCCTTTCCTAAAAGAATTTGTGCATTCATGGACTCTTGTATAACATTGACAGAATAATTTAGAAAGGTATTTACAAAGAAAAAAATCCAACCTCCCACAAAATGTGTTTTCTAGTATTACTAAGGCTTTGCTTCCCAGACATCAAATGAGCTGAGTGCCCTCACCAAGGGTCTGTAACCCACTTAAGAGTGGTAAACATTTGATTTCAGGAGGTGCTGAAGCTTTGCACTCACTGAATATTAACAACCTAACGGTGAACTTTAGTTTCTGGATCCTGAAACATCTCCTCTGAAAGATCTTAGCTTATAACCATAAGACCCAGGTCATTTTAAACACAAATATACCTCTTCTTGCATAATTGGTATCCATGTCCTTAAAATGCACCATGACAAAGTCTGAAGACTTGAACAAGATACTCTCTAGGATGTCCTCACGTTTTGGCCCCAAACTGGATTCCGCAGTTTTCCGATGAGCAGCATCGACCACTAAATCACACTGGGGGAGACAGGACAAGGAGGCACTGACTTAGTGCACAATCAGCCACTCACTAACTTCATCTGCTTGCAAAAAACACATTTACAATCTGCTGTGTAAATCTAGATGGGACTAGTCAAAATAATTCATAGCAAATAGTCACAGGTTAATCAAATACTGATTATTCAGGATTAGATTTTAAAATAAGAGCCAAAATGTACAAAATTACCTTAGGACTGTAGGTTTTAAAAACTCCTTCATATATACCACCATTTTTCACCTGCACTTCACATTTGGATCCCTAGAAGGCAAGAAGAATGAAAACATGACTTGCTACCAGCCTGACAAACGACATCTGAGTGATTTTCATGTGTTCTTTACATAGCCCACAGCACAAAAATACAGCTCAGTTTTCAGCCCAATCTCCTCATTCAGCACTTGTCCATCTATAAATACACTGCTGTGCTCTGCAGATGCCAACAGCTGGGTGTGCCCAGGCTGCTCTGAGGGGACTCACAGGAGCATGTCGGGTACAAACAAGGCTCCTGACCAGTCAGTGGGTACAGACAAGCAGGAGAGCTCACCCCGGGCTCAAGCAGATGTCAACAGTCTGCCCCAGTTCATTTTGGCATGTCAGGACTTCCCTTAAACCTGGGGAGAAAGGTTTCTAATCCCCAGACACAGACTCATTGTATTCATACATAACTTGTCCAAAATTCAAGACATGCAAGTGCACCTAAGACATCTGCTTTTCTCTGCAAATTAGACCTGGACCTTTCCAAGCTAAAAGTACAGAACAGCTGTTACTGTGATGCTTTTGAGTTCAGTCTTGGCAAAAAGGGGCTGAAGTTTCATATTCACTCCATTACATTAGAACAGATGGACTAGTTACAACTCTCTGTCACTGCAGAACTCTTTGCCCTCCTGCAAGTTTGGAGACTTACGACAACTGATGTAAGGATGTGAACCATTCTCATGTTTGCATAGATGCCATCGAACGAAATCTGGAAAATAAGAAATAAATGATGAATGAAGGAGAAATACCCAGAACAACCCAAAAGAACAGTGCCCCCAAACCAACCCAGGTTTCATCAGTGCACAGGAGTCCCCAGAGGCACTGGGTCAGACCCTGACTCAGGCAACATGCACAGAATGTATAGTATTAAACATTCATAGTAACGTTAAATACAGCACAGGAGATTTCCAGAGGACCTTTATCCCTTTCTCTGACCTAACGCCCTTCCCAACAGGATCAAAATCCCAGAGTGCCCCTAATGTCCCTCAGTAAGGACTCTCAGGCTGGCTGGGTGAAGCTCACATGCACAGAGCCAAGGGATGTCAGCAGGGCTTTGTTTCCCAGCTGGAAAGGCCCTGCTGACATCCCTCTCTGGATGTCATCGCCAGCAGAAGGCACTTCAAGTGCTGCAGAAGTCAAAAGGTGCTTTCAGGCCTGCTGAA